TTTGTAAGGGAAAAATGTCATCTTATTTGGCCATCTGGTAAGGACTCAGAAATAAGCTGGCCAAGGAGGAATGTAACATTTGTATTGCTTTCTATGTTTGTGTCCCTTGTTTTCACAGCAGTCCTGTTGTCTTTTCTGTGGCCAAAACATCTCTGAATGTGCCAAATGACAGTGATTAATTTACAGACTAAATTGTCAAGCAAAGGCATCCTGAGCATCAAGCAGAGTAAAGTTGAGTTGTACTATTTGCATCTGCTGGATACAACTTGGATCCATTATTTCCATTCACTTTCAACACTGTACTGAGATTGATTTAATATTCTTTTAGAAGCTGATACTGCTTCACATTAATCACAGCAAACCTCATAGAATATGTCATTCTTTTGACACTAAGTAAAAGATGCTGGTGCTGAGGCATCTCAGTGAAGTGGATGTGCATGCATCACTTCTGAGCACAGACTGGTTTTGACAGGACTGCCCTTTGGAAGCTCCCCCTCTGGGTTTAGGGTCTAGAGCAAGCCTATGTAGGCATAACACCAAACTGTGCTGGGTGTGGGTGGGGAAAAGGAAGAGAGAGCAAGAGGCAAAGCTGGGAAACAAGGCTTTCAGCATCCCATATACCCCCACCTACAACCGGGGTCAAGACACCGGGGCTTCCACACTCACCACAGCAGGAGCTGAAATGCAAGGAGGGCTATGCTAAACCTTGCTGAGGTGGAGAATACTGCTTCATTCCAAGCCATTATCTGACAAGAAGAGGCTTCTAATGGTTTCAGGAAATATTCCTCCTTAAAGAGGTCATATAAAGGGAATTTCAAGGGATGAAGACAAGCAACAGAAAGATAAATAGTATCTAAGAGGTTTATTAAAGGAGATATATGTGAGGGGATTGTGTGGGAAAAAATGTCATCTCACTACCAGAGAGATACCTAAACTAAAACATGCCCCAGGAAATCTCTAGATGAGACAGATATAAACTGCTTAATGGCAGGACTGTACTCAAGTTTCTGTTGATTATAATTTTAATTAGCAGCAACAGCAGAAAATCTTCACAGCCACAGAGTAAAACTCAGAGGAGATCCAATAGAGATAGCTTTGAACACATAACTGAAAGCATTTTGAAATTAGCTTTTGTCTGTGCCTTGTATCTAAGTTTTTTCTTGCACATCCAAATTTAGTTACTAACCACTCCTCTAACTGCTTCTACTGCCTGACAAACCTTAGAGGAGGGCTTCTTTTTTCCAAGCTAGAAAAGGAGAAAGACAGACATCTGAGACCAGAGAGGGGCCATGGGTGTAGAATGAATTCAGAGCTGTAATGAACATACATCCCAACAGGGATATTTGGTGATATATACACAATGGCCTCTGATTCAGGGCTTTTGGTTGTGACTGTCATTCAAATACCTATGGAAACAAACTTCTGAACCATGGGGTTTCCAGGTGTCCTTGACTCTCTGCTTGAAGTGGATCTATCTTCTGAGTGAGAATGAACGTGAGTGAGGATGCACCTTCAGCCTCAAGTGTTGAGCTGCCCCTGCCTACATCTATGTTGCCACACTGTGCACCCATGTGGTGACACTGCATGAGCTCCACCATGTGGGGTTGCATGGATCCACCAGAGTTGTTGGTCAGGTGGATCTGGTGGAGACACCACGCCTAAATTTCAGGCCTTTGACATTTACAGTGGAAAATGTATACAGTGGAACACATGCATAGTGTGTATCAGCCAAGGGATTCAGAAACAGTCAAAATAACATACCTGGAGTGAAATCAACCAGAAGTGTTATGACTGGCAAATGAAAACTGCATGCTTATTAAACTGAGATAAATAAAGTTTTTTGCTGCTGTTGAGGAGAGAGAAATAACATGACTGATACAGGCTTGCTAGAAATATATTACTGTTTGCTAATAGATGCTGTTTGTTTGAAAATGTTACACTGTCCCACTGCAAACATCTGCTGGTTGCCTATCTCCCTGAAGAGCTGTGTCTCTAATGGCAGCTCAGCTTCTTTACAAAGTGCTGGAAGAACCACTGGAGAAAATGCAGCTCACAGAAAAAGTAGTGGCCTATAATCTTAGTGTTGAGGGGATGTGCTCACAGAGGGACTGTGTAAAGGTCAGAAACAAGCTGAGCTATGGCATCTGGTTTAGTCACTGGGACTCACTCCCTTTTCAACCACACTCTTTCCCATAAAGTGACCATAGGGGGAAAAAAAAAAAACAAAAAAAAACCCCCGCAAGATTAGTCAAAGGAGTAAGACAAAAAGTATTTTACTTGCAAGTTGCAAGAAGAATAGGAAAGAAACAAAAATGCCGTGTTTGACTAGCTTGCTAAGAAATGGGTAATGGTGTTGTGTGAGCAGGGGTTGAGGGTTGCCCAAGGCACCTCTGGCAGAAGTACTTCCCTGCAACATGTGGGCAAAGATCTGCAACCACATCCCAACAGCAGCCTGGGAAAGGTCTTGTATGCCTATATTACCCATAGCAGGCAGAGCTTATATCATCCTACCCCTGCTTTCTTGCTTGAGAGCTGTAATGGCAAAAAGTGTATCTGAGAACCAAGAAGCTCCAGGTGAGAGGAGAGAAACTGAGACTGAGCTTGGGAGAAGGAAAATACGGATCTGGTAGAGGAGGAGAAGGCAATATTTATTCATTTTGCCATTTCGCTCACTCATTTTGTCATCTATTCTCTATTCTAGACCTGTTTACCACCAAGGTCATTTTATACTCCTCTACATGTAGTCTCCACTTCTGATTGACTTACAGATGCTCAAAGAAAAAGCTAAAACATCATTGATGTACATATGGATTGTCTAAACAGACATGATTAAAGATTGAACTAGGACTGGGACTTGTAAAAGAATAGTAGGATGGAAAGGATTCAGACTCAACGGTGGAGTAGTCTCTCAGAGAAGGCAACAGTCAGAAGTCAGTTCACATGAACTGTGAAGGCACAGTCATGTCTTCCTAAAAATATGCCCACGAAATGGGAAATTAAAAGGTTGAAAAAAACCCCAAATCAATAGGTGGATAAATAAAGGGGGAAAAAAAAATCCAGGGAAAGCTCGCTCAAATTAAGATCCCGTAAGGAGAAGGCCACGTGAGGGTTTCCCAGGAGAGTCTTTTGGGTAAATCCTAGACTGGGGATAGAGCCAAGCCAGACCACTGCTGACAGAGTCCTGCAATATTATATCTTTCCAGGATAAGGCATAAAATGGGCAGATGGCTGTGGCATGTTTCCTTGTGGTCTGGCCTGGATCCATGAAAGGTTAGTCTAGTAAAAACAGCTGCAGGGAAAGTTGGCTTCTTTGTCCCTTGGGACAAATGGATTCACTGAGGCCCATGGAGGAGGAACAGAGCCTAATGAGTGAGGAAGGAATGTGGTAAATGTGCAAGCTTTTCACCCCAGCCCCACATTATTGGTGATTATTGAAAAAATGAGATTCTCAACAATCTGTTTTGTCTGATCTGCCTTATATTATATTTTATAAACACCAGAATACTGTTATGGTCAAGCCTTCCGTTTTAAAATGTTTTAATAGTTTGTGAGGCAAAACATGCATTCTCCTCCTCACTGAGAATAAAATAGCTAGCTTCTGGGGAAAAAAAATCCCTCATTTCTCTGGGGGAGTGTTGGCTTATGGGGCCATGTCCCAGATGCCAACGTGGTGTCAGATCCATCTGGCATCCATGGATTTGGCACAGTACCCCCTCAGAGGCAGATGAGAAATTCTTATATTAGAAATGGTTTACTGAAAAGTTTGGTCTACAGATTGGGAGTGGATGGCTGGTCTGATAACAGTCACTGTGCATTTTTACTTTCAGGATTGAAAGCCACTGGTTCAGGTATGGCCCAGGGCCACCCACTTGATGGCAGAGTGATGGAGCTCGTTTGCAAGGCTGTGATCCTTAATGAGCTAAATTAGTTGTGGAAAATGGTGGCAGTTTCCACAACACATGCCATATTCAGGGAATACACGTTGTAACACCTCTCTGCTTAAAAGTTTCAAGGAGAGATTCATGCTTTACTGCTTTCTAGGGAAGCTGAAGATTACTGCTACCCAGAGTATTGCTATACCTCTTAGCAAAGGTTTCAGGGAAGGGAAAAGACTTTTTTTGTTTTTTGTTTTTTTTTCAGGCTACAAGTGCTCACCCCCCTTTTCTTTCCCGTGAGAAAACTGAGTTTTAGAGGATCAGGAGGTAGATATGGTTCACAGAAGTAATGTCTGGCCTGATACGTATTTTTCAAGACATAAAGTGATCACTTGTCTGAAGTAAGGTTACAGCAGAATTGTTGGTTTAAAGCAGTTTGGCCCAGCTACAATTTATGTGATCCTGCCAAAGCATGAAAAGAGCTTGGAATAAACCTGAGACTGTTGCCCTTAGAAAGGAAAGCTTTCAAAGCATGTCCACAGATTTCCTAGGACTGAGCAACACAGCTTTGGAAGGTGTAGATAATCGTGCTGGCAGATGCTATTTGACATTATAATTGTCCATGTAGGGTAGAGGCAGGGTGCTGCCCTGTGGCAGGTCAAGTCTCCTTTGGGAGGTCCTCAGAGAACAGGCAGCTACTTCTCCATTTCCTTCTTTACAGGTTTTGGGGAAAATATGGGGGCAAGCCCTTTGGGCCCTTCATAGTTCTCAGGCAATGGAAAAAATTGAAAAGCCAATTAAAATGAAGTTGCAGGCTTAAACCACAACCTCCACAGAGCTGGAGCAAATGATTAATTTTGAAGTGTCCACAGGGCTCTCTGATGTGCTGGCATGTGGTAGGAGAGATATAGGACCTGGGCTTCCTGAGGGGTAGATAGGAGTGAGCGTGCATGGTAATGGGGGTTGTACAGGAGCGTGTTGCCTAAATGGAGCTTTTGGCATGTCCCCACTGTCTATAAGGTGGACCTAAAAGATCCTTCCACCTAGTTTGTAGGCAGCTGCAGTGTTACCCTGCTAGAACATGACGACTTCTGTCAAATCCATTTTGATTTTTTTTTGCTGCAGAGTTCCTTAGGGACACTTTCATGAACATACTGATGGGCTCTGTTTAAAGGAAAAAGTTGTTCTTGGAAGGTCTGTAAAAAGCAATGTATATATAGTGTCTGTATATACATATCTATGTATATATGCATAGTTCCTTGATTTAGCATATGGAGTTAAGATGGACAAAACTAATTTTGAAGCTACCAACCTTGAAAAGCTTTTCAAAGACATATTAATGTAGAGCCAAAACATGAGAATCTGTCCTAGGTTGGTTTATACATATGAACAAAAATATTTACTCAGCTAGTAAGTATTTGATTAACCTTTGTTTATTGCTTCAAGATGAGGGACAGTTAAAATACAGGAACCTATGGATTATATTTTTGCTTTTTAGCTAATGTTCACTTCCTCCACAGGAAAAAATATGGTGTAGTTAGGAGAAGAATGCATTTCTTTCTCATCTCAAAGCCTGTATTTCAATGTCCAGAGCTGAACTCAGGAGAAATGTACCTATTCTTTTTTGTTTAAAACTAAAGCAGAATATGGTTACAAGCAATAAAATACCATGCATCACACAACTCCCCTGATGTGGCAAATATGGAGATACAGGCAAAAGCATGTGCTAAGCTTCTGCTTTCTGAGTTGGACTTGTATTTTTTATTTGTAATCTAAAATGTAGCAATGTCAAACACTGAGACTTTTTAGGCACTTTCTGTTTCTAAGGCTTTACTTTACAATATGTTTCACAATTCAAACTAGTTTATTTCAAAGGGAGGACACAAACCCCTTTTTATGCTGTGCATTGCTACTACCAAGACCCATCTGCCCCAGCCATCCATCTTTTTCGAATGGGTCAACAGAGCATTGCTGCCTCTCTACCCAAGGTCCCAGTACGTGCCAGTTTGAAACCTGCCATGAAATCACCATTTTTTTCCTGCTGTGTAATCCAGATTAGGAATTCTTTTGTCCTGAATAATCTGATGGGAGCATGCTGCAATAGAGAGGAGGCTGTGGGCTGCTGACTGCCTGAACCACAGGGACTGAGAAGAGGGTGGTCAGGAGGCGGCTTGACTCACTGAGCTCTACTGGGAGCTACAGCTCATGTTGGGTCCTCCCATGTTGGGGGGATTAAGAAAAGCAGTAATTGCTATGTGACCTTGAAGGGCTGGAATATCCTTTGTGACAAAGTAGAACAAGACCTTTCATTTGGATATGAATGTAGCATATGAGTGTAACAAACAAAACAATCTTCAGTAATTTAATTATTTTTTGGGGTATGTTTTGTTTTGTTGTTTAGTTTTTTTAAAAATAAAATGTGCTCAGTAAGGATAGACTGAATTAGATGGCTTGCATGCCTTAATAATTTGTCACTTGAGAGTCACTTTTGAATCAGGATTGACAATGAAAGAGCTCTCTGACACTGTCCCATATGGACCAGTCAGAAGCAGGTTTTGTTGGTGTAGATTGTTTGGCACCTGGGTCAGGAAAAGTCTCTGTCTCAGGCACTCTTAGAGGCACAGGCTTTGCTTAGATCTAGTATCATACTAAAATGTGGAAATGATGTAAGGTCTTCTTTTCTGTTTTTGCAGTGCGGCATTTGTAAAATAGCATCTGTTAGAAGGTGCTTTAGACAAAAATGTGAACATAACCATGAATAACAGGAGGGAATCATATAGCAATATATGATATTATAATATATAATATGATATAATATAATATAATATAATATAATATAATATAATATAATATAATATAATATAATATAATATAATATAATATAATATAATATAATATAATATAATATCAGCTGTGGGGACTTCTCAGGAGGAATCTCCAAAGCCACATGTCCATCTCTGATCAACTCCAAATCAATTTGCAATCACAAAGACAGTCCCCGGCAGCATTTTGCAAAGTAGCGGCACTGGTGTTACCACTTCAAGTGCTCATCCGCACCCAGGAGGGCAGCTCTGAAGCCTTCCTCACAAGATTCAGGTTGAGTAGTAAACCATAGGGTGCACAACACTGTTATTTAGCACATGTCAGTCCTTTGGTTTTGTGGTAAACTATCTTGACTTTCCTGGCTCAAATGAACTGTTTAGCAAAACTGGATCTGTATATTTGTTTTCTAAACTAGTTCAGCTCCCCAAATGACATCAGAGACTAGCTGTGGTGGTGGAGGTGGGTGTCAGGCAGAACTGTCCAAGGCCTCCTATTCTACTGCTCTGTGTGAAGAACAGTATCGCTTGTGCCCATGCCCAGGCTCATTTTATTAACACTTGTGTTCACTTTCTTCTCTGGGCACCTACACAATCAAGTTATTAATTAGAGAGTCACGGAACATAATTTAAATTTTGAGGAAGTGCTTCAAACCCTGTAAAATTTTAGGATGATTATATGTAGTATGTCCTCGTTACCTGGAAAACCCAGTGCTTGGCGAAGGCAAACGTTTTTCGATAGCTTCACTTTGCAGGAGAGGGAACTGGAGCACAGAAAAATGATGTAAATTAATCAACACTGCAAGGTGGTTTAATGGGAAGGCTCTGATTTTGTTTTATTTTTTTGTTTATTCTCAGTCTGATTATTTGTTCACTGTCAGGTAGCAAAAGATTTCCACATTTCCAGAGAGAAATGCATAGCTTTAGGCTGAGCAACACCCCAGAACACAACTCTATCAAGACCCCTGGGCTATATGATGGGGGACCAAGTGCATTTTGCTGTTAAATTTGCAATTAATAACAATAAAACCCCCTATTTTGTTTCTTATTCTACTTCCCTTGAACTTAATATTTTAAAAGGTCTTACTGATTTCAAAAGCAATTCAATCTGGGCCTGTGATGGGCTCAATCATGCCTCTGACAAGCAAGGAAACTCTGGGGTGCAGATTGGAGATGTGTGGCGATGAGCAGCTACTTCCAAGAAGCAGGCATTCAGCTAATGAATGTTTCCAAGTGCAACAGGGGAAGAAGGTTGCCTGAGAGAAACAAAATATGTATTTCTCCAGCATTTGCTGGGTCTTTGGCTCACCCCAGATTCAGCATGTTTGGGGAGCAGTGACCCTTCTTGCCATTACCAGCTCTGGGTATTCTTGCTTAGTCAGTACAGATTTCCTGCCCATGAGTGTGTCTGTAAGAGTGCTAAGTGGGGAGGGCGCATCACAAAAAGGGCTTTGGTACTGTTCCCCCACTCTAGTGCACTCAAAACACAGATTCAGGTTTTACCAAATCCACCAGATTAAGTACATGATGGATGAATATAAAAACCAACCTGTAAACCTTGTCTGGAAGAAGGTTTGGTGGTTGGGGAGTGGTATGAGCAAGGCTGATGGATGGCAAGTATTCAAATGAGTAGATGTTTAGGAACCACGTAGGTTCAAACCCAGTGCTATGCAGCACTCCCTGGGAGACCACTGGCAGGTCACCTGACCTTCCTGGGCAATAATAAACCAAAGTGTAAATTTGTTTATAAGCTGAAAACCAGATGCTGCATCTGGGAAGAGCTGGCTCAGGCAAAAATCCTTAACTCCCATTTGTAAGACTTGTGTGTCCTTCTCTGAGCAGTGCTGATCTGACCACCAGTCACAGCAGACAAAATTAAAATGATCTTTGGAAATAAATTTGACCTGGATGTTTTTCCTTATTTTTTCCTTATTAAATATTATTCTGATTAATTTTGAAAGCGAGAAGTATGGGCTGAATTACTGTTTTAACATAGACCAAAACTCCAAGGAACAAACAATCTGTTCATTTTTCAGAGCAAACTTTTAACACCTTTGTTGTAAATCAGAGGGTGGGATTGCAATAGTCAGACCCAGATGTCTGCAGAGAGGTTCCTGCCCTCAGTGGCAATTGCCCTCAGTGGCAATTGCTAGGCCATATTTATCACCAGTCAAACCCTGCAAACAATAGCAACATGTCAGATCATGCTTTTGGAAATAATTTGTCCTATCAGCTTTTCACCTTCCTATCTGGTTTTTGTATTGGTGAGAAAAATCAGCCTGATTCTGACACTTTACTTTGTTTCCTCCTCCCACTGTACTTGCCTTCTCAGCTTTCAGCCTACTGGGGTCAAAACACCTTTGGAATAGTGGTGGGCTGCAGATGGTGCTGCAAGAAACTGCTGAAACCACACAGTAATTGTGGGCTGTGCACAGAAGATCTGACAGGGAATAGAAACCAGCACAGTCCTGAGAGGGACTGTTTCCAAATCTGCTCATTCACCATGTGACAAGGTGTGCAAACCATGCTGCAAAAGAAGATGCTGATGGAAGGCTATTTCTGCGCTGCTGTGTCTGTGGCTGTATTCTCTTAGTCATGATACTTTTGGGCAAGTGTCAGGGGGAACCTTAGACTATTTCACCTGTATATACAAATCACATGAATGTGGGTTTTTCAGACCAGATGTTGATATCATATAGTGCTGAGCAAACCTCTGCTTCACTTTCTGAGTCTTGGGATGAATAAAGTGAAAATATGGTATTAATCTCAATATAGAAATCACTTCTCACTCATGCTCTTTTTTCACTAATCAACTATGTTATTAGCTAATTGTCATACTTTGGGGACATATTTGCACACGAGGTCTTTTCCTCCCTTCTACTTGTCAAAAGAACTAGACAATTTTGTAAAGAAAAGCTGCATGAAATATTTTATTTTGTTCTCCATTTTACTCATATTTTCTTCAAAATGGGAAAAAAAAAGAATTCTCAAACATTTGTAAAGTTGGTAGAGAAGGATGTCTGTGTATGGCGGTGAACTGAACAGTCCATCTAAAGTTAATGGAGTCACAGTTGCACAAAGTCTGTGAGTGAATAGAATCAATCCCTGCATCTTTGGAATTCTTACAGCTCAGTGCTTTATGGCAATTAAATACAAATGAAGTAAAGAAATAAATGTTTGGGGCAGACAAACTTTATGGGAGGATTATGAGCCAAGCAAATAATACTGTAAAGCAGATTCTAAACTGGAATCATTGAAAGTCCTTTATAAAACAGCACGATCTACATTATTCTAATCCTTCAAAATTTGATAATGGGACTACAGTTTTAAAAAGCAAAGCAATTGCTACCCCTAATTATGTGTGGATCTGCTTGTCTGAAGCATATCCAAACCTGGTAGAAATAGAGCCTGCAGTTAAAAAAAAGTTAGTCTTTATCAAAAGCCAGGAGTTATCTCATTGTCATAATTATTATTATACCAGTTTAAAAAAAAAAAAAAAAAAAGTAGATGTTTTTGAAATTGCATACCCTTTTATTTATGTCAAACCCAACATTGTGCAGGCTGCTAATTTTTCATGCTGGGAAATAAGCGTATTTTATCAGATGGCAGGCACTGACTTTACTCTAAATCTTTCCAGCTTGAGCCCACTTGTTCCAGAACTATAGAGTATAGGGATTCCCTGAAAAATGTGAGCTGTATTCAAAAGAAGGGTCTTTTATTTGGGAATGATGACTAACTCATATTTCTGTATTTTTTCTGATTATAGACATTGATCTAGTAACCCACTGAGGCATATACTGAAATCCCACCCTTACCTAGAAAAATATTTAAATATGGCACCTTTCTCAGGAAATACAGGCACTTCATTCAATTCACTGGATGAATTACTGATTTCTCCGGTAGAGAGTGGGTATGACAGTCAGTGCAAGGAGAAATGCTGAAGCATTACTTCCTTTCATGTGACTTAAACATGTGCTTAAATTTAAACACATGCTTAAATAACATTTCTGCATAGGGATGCATTTCTGACTCTCAACCTTAATTACAAGCATATTTTTGGCAGCTGTTTATGTTTCAGATGCAACTGAGTGCCTTTTCTTTGCAGGACTGACTTCTTCAAAGACAGTAAAATGGCACAGAGATATGTGTAAACACCAACTCCTCCAGAAGTGGAGGAGTCCATACTTTTGCAAAGATACATATTTCAGTAGGAAGAATTTGTCCTGCTTACAGGGTTTCAGAAATCTAGTTTACCTCAAAGAATGGCTCCTTGCGAAGCAGTGCATTTAATGGTGCAAGCATGAAATGATCAAACCAATTTATATGGAGCCATTTCTTTTAATGCATGGGAGTTTAAGCCAAATAAAACCTATCCAGAATGAATTGATCATTGGAGGTATCTGCAATCAAATTTTGTAGCTCTTGATCCAAATACTTATTGACTCTTTTCTGATGGAAAGGGAAACAGGTAGAAAACACCCTTTGTATTCAGATGATTTAAGAAAACTCTTCACAATATCAGCTAACAACAGACAAAAGAGATAAACTGTATCGGTGAAGGCAACAGCCCACCCACAATAAACTGTTCAAATCAGATATGCTATAGTCAGTGTCCACACAGGTTTTATAGTGCTGCAACCATTTGTCCTGCAAAGCTGGATGATGACACTGCAGTATATTGTATAACGTTTGGATTTATACATCAGACTGCAAAGCACTGAAGCTGTAGGAATATTTCTAATTATCTCACAGGGGTTGAGACCCTATCTAATCCCTACTTCAAGTTTACTTCAAGGTGGTATTAATTAGGGGGCTTCATGGGAAAGGAATTACAGCATTTCCTTGTGGTTATGCTGAACAACAGCAACTCATTTCCCTTTCCAGGAAAATCTGTGAATTTGGTTGAAGTGAAAGGTTTATGCCTGGCAGGTGTTGCTTTTAAAACAGTGTGGCTCACAGAAGTCACATAGCTTGAAATGATGGACTTGTTTTTCTTGTCCTTCCTACCCCAGGTAGAAAAAATGTCAGTGACAGCACAGGAAGCCAAGAGCCCTCTTTCCTTCTGGGCAGAGTCCCCCCTCTGAGTATGGATGGCCACAGCTCACCTGCTCACTTGAAGCTCACTTTGTAATCAGCAGGCTGGCACAGTGCACCTTTCTTGATAAAGTTATCTCAAGTAGATCATCTGCCTGGTGCCCAAAAAGTGCAGAAGTGACTTAACTGATGGGTGTCGGCTACAAATATATACTGCAAGGCCAGAAGCCAAAGAGTTTATTGGCCTGGCAATGAGTTACTGAATAAACAGGAAACACTCTTGCATTGATAACCATATGTTTAACAGCTATTGCAGGTTCTCCACCATTTGAATGAGAAAAAAAAATGGAGAAATGACATAGGCACAGCTGAGACGTTGACCTCACCAAATGATCATCTGAGTAATGTGGATGCATGTTTTTGTCTCTCTCCCTGATTTCAGCTCTGTCTTTTGTCACAGCAATATCCTTGCCTTAATCCTTTTCTGTGCCTTTCATCCCTTTTCCCTGAAGCTAGAAGTGCTGGGCTAATATGCTGACTCTGTGCCCCAATAGTCCTGAATACCTCCTGGTAGTGAAGGTTCTCTGTCATCTCCTCAGCCATCTCATCAACTTTCCTTGATGATGGTACCATTGTTCTTCTGAGTCCCTTCAGAAGAGGAGGAAAACATTGCTGCTTCTGTGTCTGCCAGCTCCCCAAGTTTTGTCAGGACACAGGTGTCTGTTGGATGAGTTTAGCTGCTGAGCTGGCTCTGCTCTGGAGTGTGATTTCCACAGTGCCAGCCATGAGCGTGGGTGCAATCATGGCAGTTGGGACAGGAACCTGTGGGAAGGCCACTGCCTGTGTTACCAGAGGTGACACATGTTCCTGGAAGTGGGTGACAGTTAGAAGGGGTTGGGGTGCCCCAGGGTAGGGAAATGGTTTTGTCTTCCTTCAGACCTCCAGAGCATATAGGTGGTCAGTCCTTCCCAGGCAGAGACAGGCAAATTGCCTGGTTTAGTACCATGGAGCATCCCGGGTGCACACCCATGTGGTCTCCTCCTTGGTGTCTGGTGTGGACAGGGTGCCCCTTCTCCACCTGTGGTCAGCCAGAATCTCTTGGACTTCATCTACCCCTCCTTACTGCTTCAGTGGCAGGTTAGCTAAGTCACAGATGGTTTTCAGTGGAGCTAGTTATGTTTCAGCTCTTACCAGGCTACTTAGAGTTTTGACATGGAATAAGACATAACACAGAAAAACTTAAAACTATTACTATTTCTGAGGCAGTGGCTCTATTAATGGCAATGAATGCTGATCCTCATATCACCCCAGTGATGGCTGCTCATCAGCAGCTCGCTTTCGTCTCAGTGGTCAGCAGAAATGCCTATAATTGTGATCAGTATCATATTCTGTTGTTACAGCAAGTCCTGGACTTCCCTGTCGCTGGTACTGTGATTATGCATACAGTGATTAAGCAGCTAAAGGGGAAGTTCAGTCTTCAGGTTAAGCCCTGAGCTGGAGGGTCGGGCTGGTGTCTGCACCACATGCAAGCCCTGTGACCTCAGGAAAGCAACTTACTACCTACATCTCCATTTTTCCGCTGAGAGTATTATTTTAATTTTACCTCACTGGGGTGTTGAGCATATTCTTTAAGCAGCTGGCATTATGGCAATGCAAACATTGTTGAAGGATTCTTATGAATATGGATCTCATCACAGCTGTTTGGACTTTATCTCTTCTCTGTGGTGAGCTGACTCCCAAAAAAGTGTAGTTATTGTCCTTATTAAGCATTGCACCCTATCTGCTTTTTGTCTGTCACTGAATAAAAAGGCTTAGCAAGATGTAAACAACAGCAGGATTTTTTTTTTCCCAAAGAGCCACATTCAAATAAAACAATGATGCACTGAAATTTTAAGATGAGTGTGTTTATACTCCAACTTAGGTGATAGCAAGGGGAATGGCTTTGCTTAAATAAAACAGCCTCCAAAAAACTCTTAAATTCCATGAGCCACTGCAGATGGTATCTCTCAGTACTTCTGACAGGGCTCCAATGACCAGAGGTTTGAGGAAGATTTGCCAAGCCTTTCACTTACAATGAGTTTCTCCCGGAAAACTGGAAGGCTTATATAAACTGAAAACTTGGTTTGAAAATATTTAAGTTTTTAAATAGAGAAAACTCAAAGTGACTGGGGCAGACAGAATAGGAGGAAAAAAATGGCAAAATGGAAAGGTTTATATTCAGTCCCCTTCCCAGTCCATGCTGGCTCTTCCAGCCAGTCCCTGCTCCCAGTCAGCTCAGTGGTTTTGCTGGTAGCAGGAATTTTGGCTCAGTCCCTCTGTCCTGATGCCCAGCTGTCATTCCCTGTCCCCCCTGGCATTCCCTGTCCCTTGCTGACATATGGTGCTTACACCTTCCCTCTTCTGCCTCTGCCCCACAGGGCCCCTGGAGAAGGAGAAGAAGGTGGCTACATCCTCCCTTACAGCTCATGTATCCATCTGTGAAGAGCTGCAGCTAGCGTGCTATGAAGAGTGAGCAAAGGAAGCATGTGCCCCATGCAGTGGCTCCCCTGCTCTGTCTGTTACTGTACCCAAATATTTTCCATGTTCTTCAGCTCTGTGCACACACAGTCCTTTCCCAAAAGTGCAGGACAGTCCTTCAGGACTTCCTTTAACAAAGAGTTTTGGTTAGTTTGTTGGTTGCTGGTTTTCTTTGCTTGTTTGTTTTAAAATTCCTGCATGCTGTGATTTAAAAACTGATTGAATATAAACATATCTTGGCAGTTCTTCAATTAATCCAAGTAGCCAGACCTCTACGGACATTGGTGGACATGGACAAGTCGCCACATCTGAAGATAAAATACTAGAGGCTCCATCCTGCTGACACAGAAGACAATGGTAAACCTCCTGCTGACTTCATAAAAGGCAGGATCTGACATTTAGTGTAGTATCTGGAGAAGTTTGCTTATGTGGACTCGGGAAAACTTACAATAACATACATTTCATTCTTTCCTATGTGTGTCCAAATGTGAGGTCACTTGTTCAATTACAACCCTATTCTTATTCTATTGGGTAATGAGGGGAAAACAAAAGAGAGTTAGCATTTGCTTATAGCACTGCATTTTTCCCCAAAGCTAACACAATGGCAATAGGATGTTTTGCTCTCAAGAAAATGTACCAAGCCAACAGGGGAAAAAAAAAAATAAAAGGCCCAAAACTGAATAGTTGTAAAATGCTATTGAAAGGATTCATAATAGGTTCCAAGGGAGGTTTACTGAATGGCTTTGGGAAAGCCTAATTCTTTACCATAATTTTTGAGGTGAACATGTATTTAATATTTCAATCAGGTTTAAAGACCTCCTGTTATTATCATTGTTTGGTGAAAAGGTCCTATGTTTTTTCAAATGTACCTCTTAATTCAAATCTTTTCCTGCAATTTGATTTTGAGAATGAAACTTTTCTAATGCTGATTACTATTTCTGTGAATCTCAGGTAGGTAAAAGAAGAAGGTGTTAGAAGAATTTTATTTTGATGACCTATCAGTTGCTAAGAAGTTTTAAATGACAGTGTGTCAAATGATGCAATTAGGGTAGATAAAAGTCTAAAGGCTGTCCGTACAGGCTCTTGAATGTTGTATGGCAAGTCTGATTGAATCAGGATGTCATCACAAATTCATGTGAAGTTGAGGTAACTGGAAAATGCTGGAAAGATGTAGGGAAGAGAGATGCAATGGAGGGACCCATGGTGAGCTGTGATGGAACAAAGCACTGGGGTCCCTCACTTCTCTCTTTACCAGAATAACCAAATCTAGGCTGGGTTTAGCTCTCACTTTCTGGCCCTTGCTCCCAGTTCTGCAGTGTCTTGGCTCCATTTCACAGTCTGCCCTGTCCCACAATACTTGTGGAGTTGCACAGCATGACATTTAAAATTTGGAGCTAGGCTTGTTCAATACAGGAGAGCAATGGATGGTGAAGCACCTCTAAAGACCCAAATGGATTGTTACTCCCTGCCTAAGAGCGGGCTTGCTTACCTGTCAGCCGTCATTTCTTTTGACAAAACCTAAATACATGTTTTTCTCTTCTCTTACATACTAACCAATCCTACTACCAACGTACCACCAAAAAAAAAAAAAAAAAAAGAAAAAGTGGCTTGCAGGGGTTACATACTTATAATTTCACTGAATGAATATAAAAAGATTACTTTCCGTTTGTTATCTAGAATCCCTTCAGGCCAGGACACAGCTGGGTTGTCTCAGCTATGCACTGTAAGAAGGTTGCCGCAGCAAACCCTGCAGCTAAATCTATGAACGAACAGCATACTTGTCTGTCTTTTGTAACAAGGATTAGCATGTCTAATTGAGAAACATTACCTGTTGTTCAGTCTCAGGCTGGAGTCTAAGAGTCATTCCAGCATATGCTTGACTCCTTTTCTCATATTCATGTCTAAAGAAAACTGGCTATTGCAAAATCCTACTGCAGGAGGTTCCCTTGTGCAAAAAAGGATAGTTCCTTACAGGAATTGCCAAACGATTGTATCCCAACCTCAAGTATGTTGCTCCCTTGGCTCAGCTTCGCTGCCCAGTTTAGCAGAGACTCTGACCCCGGAGATTTTCCACTGCAATTGCCAAAGCAATTTGAGAGTGGAATATTTTGCGAATGTTTTGTGACAATTTGAAAGTTTTGTAAGAAAAGCAACTAGTACCTTTTATTTGGATTAATGACTACTGTGCTTATTGTATCTTTATTGCTAATTTAACTAGTTACTTTGGAGTCCCTTGTACTTATAGAATGTATATAATTTATTCTTGTCCCCACCCAGAGGCAACTGCAATGTATATCAGATAAGGTACAACATGCGGACACAGTGAACAATGCAAAGTTAAAATTATCAGTATAAAATTGTGGCTGTTGATTCTGTTATAAGATTTTAATCAGTTTATACAATTTGCCATGGTGCCAAGAAATGGAAATGGAGTTGACAAGACAAGACAAAAGAAGCATACTCTGAGATGTGAAACAAAAAGTGCTTTAAACTATTGTTCATTTGTGAATAACTTACTGCAAGTTGTAATGTACCTCGGTCTTTCATCCACCTCATTTTATTCAGCTTCAACTGTGTATTAAGGCCGGTTCCTGGGATGAGAAAATAGTTTGCCTTTAGTCCTTTGACTGCATTGGTATATTTTATTTTCACTCAGTTTTTTTGGTTTTGGTGAGACTAACTCAACAACATACAAAGTGAGATGCCCTAGACAGGTTTTTGGAAAACCAAAGAGATATCTGATGGCCATATCTTTCTCTCAGACTGTTTTTTATTTTGTTTTGTTTTGTCTTTTTCCAGGCTGAAAGTATTTGCTTTGTGTTTTGCAGATATACTTTGCATTCCTCTGATATGTGGAAATGTGTCTGAATGTCCTCACTATTGGGGCATTTTGGGGCAGCTACCAGGTTAGTACCATATTGCCTGGTTTTGACAATGATATTTGACTGAAAGTTCAATGTTAAGAAATGAACTAATTTCTGTCCCCGTTCCCAGTACATAAGCTAGTTGTCAACCATATGCAATGAGAGTCCCGATTGTCCTTAAAAGTTCCTATTTTTCCATTTTTGTCCCCTCAAATCCTCATAGCATTTCAAAAGTTCTTTTGATTCACTTGTGAATACAATGGCCTTTTATTTGTCTACACCTTGATTATAATGGAGTTTGCTGGAGTGGTTAAAGGATCCCTCCCCAGGGCATTTGTCATTCCCATACTTCAGACAATGTTTGCACAAGTTCCCTTTCATCCTCTTTCCTATTATCTGTGATTTATGCAACACTGAGATCTCTTGCATAAGACCATCACTGGTACAAAAGTATTTGAAAGGCATAATTTTGAAAGGCATTCTCTGTCACCTCCTAATTGCATGCTTATATTTGGGAAAGGCTCTTGGCATTTTTCTTGGAAGCCAATATCCTCCTGTAGAGTCAGTACCGTCCCTGGCATCAGACTGACATCAGAGTCCATGGCCTTCAATTGGTGACTCTTTGCCATGTGTACACACATGCACCTGCTGTCTGTGTGACCATGCTTAACAGCACTTCTGAAACTTTTTAAAAGGCATATTAATTTTATGTAGTTTAATGCAGAATTCATCACATTAAAACAATTACTAGAGTTGGGATACAAGACAGCTCTCAGAATCTGAATATCTGCCTGGGACATCCTTTGATCCCCAGCACTTTACATAACCTGGAGATCTCAAGTTGAGTGTGATGCAACATGAGTTGACCTTCTGTTGTTCTCCTGTTACATGGCCCCATGGTTACATTTGGAATTAAATGCAATGGAAGTAGGTTCTTCTCTCCCTTCAGTTCCAAAGAAGGCTGTTAGGATGCTGAGCTGCATCCCCCCTAGAAGGAGGAGACTGTCCCAGAGGGCTTCAAGCCTCTTACACAAAGCAGGACAGCAGCTCCTGATGGACAGTCAGAGGTTGGCAGTGCTCTTTGGTAGCAACCAAGCTTCCTGCTGTTCATAAGGACCCATAATTTCTGACTAAATTTGAAGTGAGAAGGCTGAAGTCTCCAGAAACAAAATCAACTCCTGCAGCTGAACTGCCATGTTACTCAACTTCAGGGTCTTGTGAAGGGGGACTCTGATTCCTATAGAGTTGAACTTGCTTTCTGTTGCTCCTCTGGTCATTAATTGAACAGACTCCTAGACACAGCAGTTTAAGAGGAGGTTATCTTTTAATAACAGTGTGTGAAGAGACCTTTCCCAATTAATTGATTCCAAGACTATTAAACCTTTTCTTCAGTTTTTTTTGGCAGCTCTGATAACCTAGATATATCTGTCCCTTCTTCCCAGCAGCCTCTTTTCTTACCACTGTAAAGTGATGAGTATTTCCAGTCTGGTTTAGGTTTCTGATTTCAGCTAGTGTGTACATGTGTGTAAACACTGTCATTTCAGTGGGGATGTCTTTCGATGCTTTGCTTTGCTTGAAGTATTTGGCATTTCATTCAAAGGCTGTTCCCATGTGATGATCAGGGCAGTTCAGTGATCAGGGAGCCATCCAGTGCCAAGCCCTGTGAGTAGGATGCTTTAGATGTTTGATGCTCTCTATTGTGAAATCTCACACTTAATATACGAAGATGTTTACATGCAAAGTAAAACTGTTTGGTTTAAAAAGAGAATAAAAAGACCATCACAACTGCATGATGTTCTGACTTGGTCTTGCATGACCTATTGTGCTCTGTGGGCCTGGTCTGGCACTGCCAGGGCTCTGGCATTTCCCACGTCATGGGGCTGCTCCAGAGCCGCTGCTTCACGGGAGTAGATGTGTCCCCTACCTGCTGGCCTCACGTCCTCTCCTCAGCATAGCCCTAGCAGAGCTCATGGTGCTCAGGGCTGGCACAGCCCTGAGTTGTTTCTTGCTGCCTTGGTGTTGTCATTTTATGGCCTTCAGGCTGTAATATAACATCGTTTCATGTGTCCCTGGCCCTTCTCAGGTTTCCAGCTGTGCTATGTGAGTGGGCTTCAGGAACCAACCTGTTTGCACAGGTCCCTGTCTATGGAGGCAGAGGAGGATTTCATGACATAGACTGTGTGGGAGGGACAATGGAAGCAGCTGACCTGTGCCTCAATAGCAGCAGGCAACTTCTACACATGTAGAACTTCCATACTTCCCTTCTAAAGGGTAACTAAAAACCTCAAAACAATATAAAACACTTAAAATTTAAACATTCACTCACTTCTGGATAAAAGCTGCCTAAGGTCACAACCCAGTATTACTGTCTTACTGTTGCATACTACGCACTGCTGCCATTCCATCACAGCATGTAGCACCCGCAAAACACTGCAGTGGGAAGAAAGGCCCTGCATCCCCAGGCAGCCTCCTTTAGAAGGCTATAATTCAGTGGTACCACAGCTGCAATACAGTGACCACTGGTAATAACTGGAGCTAAATGCTTCCAAAGGTTTCACTTGCATCAGGGTCACACCATTAGCCTCATCCACCCTAGCCACAGTGGGCAAGTATTGAACCAAAACTAGCCAGGTGTTTTAAAACCAAGTCCTGGGATCCCTGCCACTTGAAAACTACATTTGGATGAGTTGGTGGAGGAGGTGTATTGTCATTTCATGTCACTCTCAGGTTTATTTAAAGCTGATGATAAACACAGTTGAGTAAGAGAATCCCTCATAAGTGATGGAGGTTCTAGGAATATCAGGTCTTAACTCTTACACAGCTTAGTAAAAAAATAACAAGGCAGACCGGACATTGTGTTTTATAGGTAGGATATTAATTATAGTAGGATACTAATGAAAATGTACAGGAGAAGAGCTTCTTAGTGTTGTTGGAATAATAAAACACCATGATAAACTTAGCAGCTCTCCAAGTAGACATTATGGTTAATAGACATTATATATTTTCATATATCTTTCACTTAAATTATATGTATTTCCTTCAGTTATTGTCTTCATGTATTTAATCAGGCTTCAAAAGCAGTGGTTTTCCTAAAAAAGACTCTAAAAACTCTGTTTGTTTGTTTTTTGTTTGTTTTTCTGTAAAACTGTGACAACCTGGCAGAACTAAAGATGAACAATAACCAAGGATTTTGGGGTCCAGATAGGTATAAGAGCTGAACTTTGCCACAGTCCAAGGTTGTCAGATGTATGCTTTTGGTTTTCATGTTTGGAGAAATCCAGTGAAAGCCACAAAGATTAAGTCTTCCTTTTTATATTCATAGGCTCAAAGTATCAGATTGGTCATATAATTACATTTTAGGCCAGCCACTTAACACTTAACAATCACAAATTTTAATCAAAACTTGCTACCATGTTAAAGGGGAAACACTAGGCTGTAATTTTATATAGCTGTTTTGTTTTGTTTTGGTGTTTTTGGTTTTTTTTTTTAATGAAAGCTTCGGAAAAGACTGGAGATCTTTGGTTTCAAATTTTCTTCAGTTAGTAACTTGAGACGTTTTTAAAGAAAACCTAATTTTTTTTAGAGTGTGCTGGACAATTGACTTCTGAAAACCAGAACTTTTATAGATGTTTCATGTTGTGGTGAACACAGTAAATCTCTAATTCCCTTCTAAAATATCAACCAACAAAAAGAAAATAATCTTTGGCTTGGTTCTGAGTTTTGTATATTATCCATGGGCCAGATCCTGCCAGCCTCTCTGTCAAAACATTTATGGACTTTTTGACCCTAAAATCAACCCTTAATTTTGTAAGAGTTATCTGCAAAGGATCAGCATAATTTACAAAAATACAGTTATTATTTCATGTGGTTTTTTTATCCCTGCCTCAGTATGCACCAATTTTGTTCTTTTGCCATCTTTCCTGCCCCAGTTGGTGTTCTGGAAGTCTAGCTAAGCTGCTTATAATAATTTTCCCATTTATCAGTCATTTATTCCATTGCTTTCCTTCCTCTCCTGACCCTGATGAGTTGCTTACTTCATACTTTTGTTTTGAAAATTTTTTTTCTGCACAGAAACACCAACCTCCCCTGATCTGTATTTCTGTAGAGACCATATCAGCACTGATTCACAAAAGCAAGTGCATCAAAATAAAAGCTTAGGCTTATCTTCTCCAGCCCAGCTGCTGACCAAAGATTAGTGAATGCTTCTCAGGCCTTTGAAGCCACCGATTCAAACCCCTTTTCTACCAAGGACGAATGGTTACCTCGGAATCAGTATTTCACGGTAGCGCTATTATTTTGGTGAAAGTTGAGCCCATCCTTCTAGTGAGCATATGTTAACTTTTTTATGGTATTTTAAGGCAGGCAGAAATGCTTGATATCCATTATGCTGGGAAACCAAAGTGGCAGTCAGGAATCTATGTTATGTTTAGGTAACACCTTTCTATGGCCCTTTGTTTCGCTTGTGGTGCAGCTCACAACCTTTATTCTTTCCATCTTCCCAGGATCTGGGGGTGATAACAAGCAATAGCACTCTGTTACTCCAAAGGGAAGGTAGGTGATTTGCATGGGATCTGGGAAATGCACCAGATCAGGGAATTATGTCTTAAAAAAGAAAAAAAACAGATGAACATCAGACCCACAGGACAGGCTATCCTCACTGCACCAAGAAGGGGTGCAGGAGCAGGTGAAAATACAACTTGGTCAAATTTTTCTGGTGATGAAGAGCCCAGGGTAATGGTGGGAGGCAGGAGGAGCAAGGTGTCCGATGGGGGGAGTGGTGGCTTGCATTCTCATCCATGCATATCAACCCTTGAGAGGGTGTGGGAGTTTATTGCTTATTTAGGAGATGGGCAATGTTTGGTGTCTTGGGAAGATGTGGTTCTCCTTCAGCCATCAGGAAAGGGAAGTATGCAAATGACTAGCATGCCAGTGTCTGACAGCAGGGATTTAGGGAGCCATTAGTTATTGCTCTGACTTGCTGCTTTCCCAAAGGCACCTGTGAGACCCAGCTGACACTTCAAGCACAAAGAAATATTTGGCAC